CTTTACTTAAATATTGCTCTGAGAAAATCTCCCCACCACTAACATGCAATCAGTTTCGCGTATAATAGGCACAGTGTGCTCGCGCAGTGGAGCGCAACTTCGTTGCGCGTGAACTTGGCGCGAGGCACTACCGTGCCTCTTGATATGCCTTATATATACATATAAGGGAAGGGTTCTTATATATATATATATATAAATATATAAGGACCCTTATATATATATATATATATATATATATAAGGAAAATACATACATATATCTGTGATAAAAACAAAGATTAATTCACAGCTTTCCAATCTAATTTTATTTTTCAAATTAATAAAAGCAACTACACGTGTTACACTGGGTGCGTTCAGACAACTCAACAGTTGCACAACGGTTGAGAGATAATCACTTCTGATTGGACCATACTTTTGGAACCAAAGCAGATTTTGAAGAATAGTCCTATCATAAGTGATAATCTCTCAACCGTTGTCTAAACACACCCACTCTGTTCAATAAAAAAGTATCATCGGATTAATGTATATAAATTTTGCGTTATACAAATGTTATAAAATCTGACACAAAGTTTGAAAAAGTGGAAGATATAAAACAGTCTAGTTTTCCTTGGATCCACCATAAAAAAAACACGTCCAAGAGAATGTAAACGTAAAAAACAATTTTCAAAAAAGTAGGATAAGATAAATCTCAAACAAAAATTTGAAAATAAGATAGTAATCTGTATTTAAAATACAGCAATAATCTTTAAGTTTTTATAGCTGTTATTTCATGTTTAAAGTAGTTTAAAGTTCGTTCTTCCTTAACTTACACACATAGCACTTTAGATGTATTTAAAGTAATTTCATCATTAATATCAGTATTAAGATTACTGACACTAACAGACTTACAAGTATCTATTAAAATTCTTATGTCATTATCACTTAGGTAACTAAATATTTGTTCAATACAATCAAAAGGTAGCTCAGGAAAGTTACAGAAAAAATAGAAAATTTTAGTGCCTTGTTCGAACAACTCTTTCTTTTTCATACCTATTCTGAACTGATTTTTTATCATGTTAGAGTATATCGGAAATTTTGTTTTATACTCGTCTGATCTTAAAACCTGCACTACATTTTCATTTCTCATGTATATTGCTACTAGATTTGTATCTTTTATCAAGATATCGTAAAATGATATATCAGTATTACTAATTTTCTCATTCTTCATGATTGCTACTTCGTTTTCACATTTATCCTGTAAAACCCTTATTTCATAATTGCTGCTCACTAAAATTAATTGTTCACTTACGGATAAATTTGCAGCATTTATTTTAACTACATGCTGTTGAAGAAGATAAGCAATTTCTTCACAATCGACGCGTCTAGAAAAGTCAAAATAATCGTCATATAATATACCATTAATGTTAGCACCTCTGTCTAACAACATCGCAACAACTTCTACATGACTTGTGATAACAGCAAAACACAGTGGAGTAAAACCTGGTGTAAAAGAAGAAATATATGTCGCATTAACATAAAACTCCATGTTTTAAAAGATGTTCATCATTCTGTAAATATCTTTTTTCAGCTGCAATTTAAAGTTATACCTGCAAAATTACTGGCATTGACGTTAGCTCCATGATTTAAAAGTAATTCAGCAATTTCCATTTTCTCATATTCAATCGCATAGTGAAGCGGAGTTGTGCCATCCCGAGTTTCAGCATTAACGTTAGCACCTCTGTCCATGAGCATCTTAACACCATCTACATGTCCTTGTTGAACAGCAAGACGCAGTGGTGTAATACCTGAAAAGGAAGATATATATGTAGAATTAAAAACCTCTCCAATTAAACTCCACGTTTTAAAAGATGTTCATCAATCTGTAAATATCTTTTCTCAGCTGCAATTTAAAGTTATACCTGCAAAATTACTGGCATTGACGTTAGCTCCATGATTTAAAAGTAATTCAGCAATTTCCATTTTCTTATGTACAATCGCATTGTGAAGCGGAGATGAGCCATCCAGATTTTCAGCATTAACGTTAGCACCTCTGTCCAACAGCATCTTAACACCATCTACATGTCCTCTTTGAATAGCAACATGTAGTGGTGTAACGCCTGGTGTAAAGAAATAGATATATGAGAAATTAATATACACTCCATGTTTTAAAAAATGATCCTTAATCTGTAAATATCTTTTCTCAGCTNCAATATAAAGTTATACCTAACTTATCACTGGCATTAACGTTAGCTCCATGATTTAAAAGTAATTCAATAATTTCTATTTCCTTATTTTTCATCGCAGCGTGAAGCACAGTTGTGCCATCCCGAGTTTTAGCATTAACGTTAGCACCTCTGTCCATGAGCATCTTAACACCATCTACATGTCCTTGTTGAACAGCGAGACACAGTGGTGTAACACCTGGTGTAAAGGAATAGATATATGAGAAATTAATATACACTCTATGTTTTAGAAAATGATCCTTAATGTAAATACGTTTTCTCAGCTGCAATATAAAGTTATACCTGACTTATCATTGGCATTAACGTTAGCTCCATGATTTAAAAGTAATTCAGCAATTTGCATTTTCTCATATTCAATCGCATAGTGAAGCGGAGTTGTGCTAGACCGCCGAGTTTCAGCATTAACGTTAGCACTTCTGTCAAGAAACATCTTAACTCCATTTACATGTCCTTTTTGAACAGCAAGACACAGTGGTGAAATATCTGAAAAGGAAGAGATGTATGTAGAATTAACACTCCAATTAACCTTAATGTTCAAAAAGATGTTCATCAATCTGTAAATATCTTTTCTCAGCTGCAATATAAAGTTATACCTGACTTATCACTGGCATTAACGTTAGCTCCATTATTTAATAGTAATTCGGCAATCTCCATTTCCTCATATTTAATCGCATCATGAAGCGGTGTTGTGCCGTCCCGAGTTTCAGCATTAACGTTAGCACCTCTGTCCAAAAGCATCTGCACACCACTTACATGTCCTCTTTGAACAGCAAAACACAGTAGTGTAACACCTGGTGTAATGGAATAGATATATGTAAAATTAATATACACTCTATGTTTTAAAAAATGATCCTTAATGTAAATACGTTTTCTCAGCTGCAATATAAAGTTATACCTGACCCATCATTGGCATTAACGTTAGCTCCATGATTTAAAAGTAATTCAGCAATTTCTAATTTCTCATATTTAATCGCATCATGAAGCGGAGTTGTGCCATCCCGAGTTTTAGCATTAACGTTAGCACCTCTATCCACGAGCATCTTAACACCATCTACATGTCCTTGTTGAACAGCGAGACACAGTGGTGTAACACCTGAAAAGGAAAAGATGTATGTAGAATTAACTCTCCAATTAAACTTAATGTTCTAAAAGATGTTCATCAATCTGTAAATATCTTTTCTCAGCTGCAATATAAAAAAAGTTATACCTAACTCATCACTGGCATTAACGTTAGCTCCATGATTTAATAGTAATTCGGCAATTTCCATTTCCTCATATTTAATCGCATCATGAAGCGGAGTTATGCCATACCGAGATTCAGCATTAACGTTAGCACCTCTATCCATGAGCATTTTAACACCATCTACATGTCCTCTGTGAATAGCAAACCACAGTAATGTAACACCTGAAAAAGGAGATATATGTAGAATTAACCCTCCAATTAACCCTCAAGTGGTGCACTAGTGTGAGACACGTTTGAGATGTTCGAAGTGCTTGCGCAGAATGTGCGTTAATCATCGCTCAGCACTATGTACTGAATGCGAGCGTTTTGTAGATTAAGTTATAATATCTTTCTTTTTTAAGAGCCGTCTACAATGGAGAGTTGTAGGCCGTAACAGTAAGAAATTGACAAATCACAATCGATTATTCTTCTGTACTTTGTCTGTGATTGGTCAATTTCTTACTATTACGGCCTACAACTCTCCATTGTAGACGGCTCTTTATATTGTAAAAAGTAAACCATTTGTATACATAATCTCATTTTTCCCGTAGAGCGAATCTGCACCAGTGTACCATTTGTGGGTTAAACTCCATGTTTTAAAAAATGTTCATCAATCTGTATCCTTTCTCAGCTGCAATATGAAAAGTTATACCGTTGGCGTTAACGTTAGCTCCATGATTTAAAAGTAATTCAGCAATTTTCACTTCCCTATTTTCAATAGCATTAGGAAACAAAGTTGTGCTATATCGAGTTTTAGCATTAACGTTAGCACGTCTGTCACAACAAATCGTGCCGACAAATTTTTCATGTCCGTTTTTAACAGCAAGGAGCAGTGGTGTAACACCTGGTGTAAAGGAATAGATATAAGTAGAAGTAATATAAACTCTATGTTTTAAGAGGGTCCTGGACCGTCCTGTTATTACCGATCGAAATAATTCGTATTAAGAGGTGTTTTTCGTAATTATTGCTCGGATAGAAAAACAGCTCTACAGAATTAAAGAAAATAATAAAATGTATGTCGGAGACTTTTCAATATATCAAAAATGTGACAAAAAATTTTGATGTTAATTGTAAATCAAAAATTTTTGTTACATTTCTGATATATTGAAAAGTCTCCGACATACATTTTATTATTTTCTTTAATTTTGTAGAGCCGTTTTTCTATCCAAGCAATAATTACAAAAAACACCTCTTAATACGAATTATTTCGATCGGTAATAACAGGACGGTTCAGGACCCTCTTAAGATGTTCATCAATCTGTATATTACAGAGTGACCCTTTCTGAGTTGCAATATAGAGTTATACCTGACTTATCACTGGCATTAAGGTTAGCTCCATGATTTAAAAGTAAATCAGCAATTTCCATTTTCTCATATTCAATCGCATAGTGAAGCGGAGTTGTGCCATCCCGAGTTTCAGCATTAACGTTAGCACCTCTGTCCAAAAGCATCTGAACACCACTTACACGTCCTTTTTGAACAGCGAGACACAGTGGTGTAACACCTGAAAAGGAAAAGATAAATGTAGATTTAACTCTCCAATTAAACTTAATGTTCTAAAAGATGTTCATCAATCTGTAAATATCTTTTCTCAGCTACAATATAAAGTTATACCTGACTCATCACTGGCATTAACGTTAGCTCCATGATTTAATAGTAATTCAGCAATTTCCATTTCCTTATATTCAATCGCATCATAAAGCGGAGTTATGCCATACCGAGATTCAGCATTAACGTTAGCACCTCTGTCCATGAGCATCTCCACACCATCTACGTGTCCTTGTTGAACAGCGGAACACAGTGGTGTAACATCTGAAAAGAAAGAAATATATGTAGAATTAAAACTCTCCAATTAAACTCCATGTTCTAAAAGATGTTCATCAATTTGTAAATATCTTTTCTCAGCTGCAATATAAAGTTATACCTGACTTATCACTGGCAGTAACGGTAGCTCCATAATTTAAAAGTAATTCAGCAATTTCTATTTCCTCATATCCAATCGCATAGTGAAGCGGAGTTGTGCCATCCCGAGTTTCAGCATTAACGTTAGCACCTCTGTCCAAAAGCATCTGAACATCACTTACACGTTCTTTTTGAACAGCGAGACACAGTGGTGTAACACCTGAAAAGGAAGAGATATATGTAGAATTAACTCTCCAATTAAACTTAATGTTCTAAAAGATGTTTATCAATCTGTAAATATCTTTTCTCAGCTGCAATATAAAGTTATACCTGACTCATCACTGGAATTAACGTTAGCTCCATGATTTAATAGTAATTCAGCAATTTCTATTTCATCATATTGAATCGCATCGTGAAGCGGAGATGTGCCATCCCGAGTTTCAGCATTAACGTTAGCACCTCTGTCCATAAGCATCTTTACACCATCTACATGTCCTTGTTGAACAGCGAGACACAGTGGTGTAACACCTGGTGTAAAGGAATAGATATATGTAAAATTAATATACACCCTATGTTTTAAAAAATGATCCTTAATGTAAATAACTTTTCTCAGCTGCAATATAAAGTTATACCTGACTCATCACTGGCATTAACGTTAGCTCCATGATTTAATAGTAATTCAGCAATTTTCATTTCCTTATATTCAATCGCATCATAAAGTGGAGTTATGCCATACCGAGTTTCAGCATTAACGTTAGCACCTCTGTCCATGAGCATCTTCACACTATCTACATGTCCTTGTTTAACAGCAAAACACAGTGGTGTAGCATCTGAAAAGGAAGAGATATATGTAGAATTAAAACTCTCCAATTAAACTCCATGTTCTAAAAGATGTTCATCAATCTGTAAATATCTTTTCTCAGCTGCAATATAAAGTTATACCTGACTTATCACTGGCATTAACGTTAGCTCCATGATTTAAAAGTATTTCAGCAATTTCTATTTCCTCATATTCAATCGCATCATAAAGCGGAGTTATGCCATACCGAGTTTCAGCATTAACGTTAGCACCTCTGTCCATGAGCATCTTAACACCATCTACATGTCCTTGTTGAACAGCAAGACGCAGTGGTGTAACATCTGGTAAAGGAATAGATATATGTAAAATTAATATACACTCTATGTTTTAAAAAATAATCCTTAATGTAAATATGTTTTCTCAGCTGCAATATAAAGGTATACCTGACTCATCACTGGCATTAACATTAGCTCCATGATTTAATAGTAATTCAGCTATTTTCATTTCCTGATATTCAATCGCATCATGAAGCGGAGTTATGCCATACCGAGTTTCATCATTAACGTTAGCACCTCTGTCCATGAGCATCTTAACACCATCTACATATCCTTTTTGAACAGCAAGACACAGTGGTGAAATACCTGAAAAGGAAGAGATGTATGTAGAATTACCTCTCCAATTAAACTTAATGTTCAAAAAGATGTTCATCAATCTGTAAATATCTTTTCTCAGCTGCAATATAAAGTTATACCTGACTTATCTCTAGCATTAATGTTAGCTCCATGATTTAAAAGTAATTCAGCAATTTCTATTTCCTTATTTTCAATTGCATCGTGAAGCGGAGTTCTGCCAAACTGATTTTCAGCATTAATGTTAGCACTTCTGTCTAGAAGCATCTTAACAATTTCTATGTCACCATTTATAACAGCAAAATGAAGTGGTGTATCATGAGATTTGTCAGTGTTGCTGTTAACTTTAGAACCATTTGTTAAAAGGAGTTTAATAACTTCTGTATGCCTTTTCTCAATAGCATCACAAAGTAAAACATATCCTTCTTTCCATGCTTGTGAATAAGATAGTCCATAATAAGTAAGTAACTCCCTTGCTCTTTCTAGGTTTCCTTCACGAACTGCACATATTAACCTATAGTTTGTATCAATATAGTCCATGGTAAAAATAGTGCTCAGTTTGCATCTGTTTTTTTTCTAAAATCTCTCTTCTATGTTGTTTCTCTGTTTAAGTTTTAGTTTTGGTTTTCCTATAATTATTTATATGTATAAGTTGCAATTGTTAGTTCGCATAAAATCTAGGTAGCGGCAGAGAGAAGCCTGAGAGCGGCCAGGCCCATAAGAGTTTTTGGGTACCATTATTCCGGCCCGTAAGCTAGCGCATGTCCATGGGTGGTGCACATTGGCAACTACGTAGCGATGTCCACGAGCGAGTTGTCGATACGTATGCTATGTCCAC